CCGCGTTAGGAAAATAGTAAAGACTTCCATAGACTTTCATATAACAACCGTTTACTATATCTAATCAAAGAGTACATTATATTAAGCAGATATTCCTCATTCTCAGCATCGTTCTCTCATTATGAGATGAACATCTCGTATTATGTACTTTGATTTATATATTATATTATTATATATATATATAATATATACTAACACCCATGTTATATGATATATACTTAGAGTATAATCTCTCAGCTCTACCTTATAGTTCGGTTACATTTGTCTGTCAGTAGTAGACTGAAGGTGAACGTACGGTGGTGCTAGTGGCAGTGTACTACGTTCAGCCATGGCTGTTGCGAGCATGTGGTGGCCCCGGTGGAGCATGAGCAGTAGCTCTGGAGTACACGTGCCACAAGCAGACATTATAAGCAGCTTCCATGAAAGAAGATGAAGTTCTTTTTTTTCCTTCTACTTTTTAATCTAACTCACTCGCATGGGTTTGGCTGAAACTGGCCTCTTATACGTTTTACAAACTACTCGCCTCATGGTCCCCTGTGATACGCCTTTGAGTTTTGAATATGTCACCGGCGGCAACTATCGCGCGGCTATTTACGTCCGCTATCGTACTAGAGCATATCGTGAGCAGGGGGCAAGTCGATGTTTGCACGCTCCTCGTCCATCGCCACTACACTACTTGTCAGAGTCATGATGATTCGTCGTCAGCGGCATCCTAACTTCTAACCTGCGGTTCATAGATAATTTACTCTTGCTCGAATTCTCGATATTGGTTCTTCGTACTGCTTCTCCTCTTGTCGGATCACACCCGCCATTTGCTCTCCTTTCTCTGGCCTCTCCATATTTCCCCGGACATTACTGATCTCCTCTCTCTTACCCGTTTACTTCCTTACTCATTCGCCTTCTGTCCGCGCCTTGCTTCGATCTCCTTGTGTTAATCCAACACAACGTCTGTGTCAACAAATGAGCCATCGTACACCTCCTACCCTCGCTTGCTGCTCTGTCTGAGTGTCGTCCCATTCAGGTTGGCTCTGTCCCCTATCGCCCGGTGCTCTCATGCATGCATGCATGCATGCATGCATGCATGTATGCGTGTGTGTGCGTGTGCGTGTGCGTGTATGTGTGTGCGCGCCCGTGTGTGTGTGAATGCGGTGTGTGCGCGCGTGCGCGTGTGTGTGTGATGTGTGTGTGTGCGCGCGTGTGTGCAAATATTTGACAACGGGAGGTGTAACCCTGCCCGCCGCCGTCCACTGACTTTCAAGAAAATAGATCTTCAAAACTACTCAATGCATTTTTTTTTTTTTAAGAATTTGACTTATTAATGATGCTTCTAACCAGAATGATATTTTCAAAAATAATATCTAAATAAGTGAAATTGTACTATAAAATCACCCCATTTTCCTTTTTTTTGAAAAATTGTAGGTTTTTTTAAGGTAAAATATTGATATATGACTCGAGTCTAAATATCAGTATTTTTCGTTTACTGTAAATACATCTTCAACTAAAAGTGAGAGATAAATGGTTAAACCGCCATCCTCAAATCAGACCTCACTCAAACCCGTCTGGAGGACGGGTAATAGCTAGTATGATATATATGAGTATAACTTCACTCTACTTATAGTTCGTTCATTTGTCTGTCAGTAGTAGACTGAAGGTGAACGTACGGTGCTGCTAGTGTCAGCGTACTACGTTCAATGGCCTGGCGACTGTGAGTGGGGTGAGCACTGAGCAGTAGCTCTAGTACAGTTGCCACAAGCAGACCATTATAAGCAGTTCCATAAAAAGAGAAGTTCTTTTTTTCCTTCTCTTTTTATCTAACATCACTCGATGGGTGGCTGAACTGCTCTTAACGTTTTACAAACTATGCCTCAGGTCCCTGTGATACGCCTTTGAGTTTGAATATGTACCGCGGCAACTATACGCGGGCTATACGCCGCTATAGTACTAGAGCTATGTGAGCAGGGGCAAGTCGATGTTTGCACGCCTCTCCATCAGCCACTACACTACGTCAGAGTCATGATGACGTGTCAGCGTGCGGGTATAAGCGATCCTAACTCTAACCGCGTTTAGATAATTGATCGTGATTGATTTGTTTGTGACACACCCGCCATTCTTCCTTCGGCCCCCATTCCCCGGACATACGATAACCCAGTATCTACATTCGCTTCTGTCCCGCGCACTTAGATTGTTTGTAACCCACACACGTCGTGTAACAAATGAGCCCATCGACACCTCCACCTCGCGTGAGCGCCATCAGTGGCTCTGTCCCCCTATCGCGGCCGATTATCAAAATTTCCTCCGTCACCGGTTTCCCGCGAATCTCGTCACCTGATTTCCTCGTATCCCTCGCCATCGCCGACAGACGTGGCGGCAAGGTGGTGACGGTGGGACATTAGCACTGCACCCCCCCCCCCGATCCTGTAATAGCGGGGGGCGGTTTCCCCAATGAACCGTAAATTCTTCTGCGTGTGCGCATACGGCGAGAGGCAGACGAGCGAAGATAGACGATGAAAGCGCGCGAAGACGGGTGAGGCAACTTGGCTAGCAGTCACGTGACAAAACATCGAGAGTGATGGTCTTATTATGGGATGGGGGGATCTTTACACAATCTCTCGCAACATTCTCATGTAAATGTGCGAAGGGCAGTATTCGTTTTTGAGCAGCGGCTTAATTCTTATCTGTATATCTGATTGCGTCGTTGTGCATACAAAGGTGGTATTTAAGAGATACGTCCACCAATCTACGCATGCACGCTGACACAAGAGATCAAGAGAGAAAAGCTGTGGCTATATTTTTCTGGGAGATGCGGAGAAAGGGATGGAGGTGGGTAGTGGGTAACAATACAGGCGTTTGAGAGCAGATTTGATTAGTATATGAGGAAACTTTATAAGGAAGGTATATTAGTATAGTATATCTCTCGGTAGTATCTCTCTAGTATAGTATCGAGCTCTCATCCTCTCTCTCTCTCTCTCTTTTCTCTCCCTCTCCATCTCCGTGTGTGTGTGTGTGTGTTGTGTGTGTGTGTGTGTGTGTGTGTGCGTGTGTGGCGTGCGTGCGTGGCGTGGGGCGTGCGTGCGTGTGTGTGCGTGCGTGGGTCTTCTAAACTAGCCTAGCGCAGGCGACAGTACATGAAAAACAAGGACGGCATCAGAGAGATTTGATTTGTATATTGTGTTACAGGCGCCGTAAGCCAGGGGGGGGGGTTCGGGGGGTTCGAAAGTAATCCCCGCGCGCCCCCCCCAAGCAAAAACAATAATAATTTGAAAAAAATTTCAAGAATTTCACTGCTCAGGTCGCTCCATTTTAGTGTATATTAATTGGCAAAATCTCGGCATCGTGCGGAGGGTGAACAGTGAACACCGCCCCTCCCACCACCTTCCGCCGCTCGTCCGCTTGCTCGCCTCTCGCTGGTGCGCTTCGCGCGCCGAGCAGGGGCGTGTAACAGGGGGGTCCACGAGAGTCCGGACCCGCCCCTTGGCTCGCGCAGAAAACGCATCTGAGGGGGTCCTAGATTTAAAAAAAATTTAAACCGCGCCAGACGGCCCCCTTCGCGTGTCGTGTCAAGCTTTGGGTTATGGTAAGACCGGCACGCCCTGGTAAACAAATCCTGGTAGCACGCCCCTGGCCCGAGGGTGGCAAATTGCCAAACATTGAAAAACGAACCCCCGGCCCGCCAATATCAACTGTGCTAGGCGGGGCGCGCTGAGGTGTGTATATAGTACACGCTTGCATGAGTTTAAGCCAGCTAATATGGGTATTTATGTGTGCGTGCGTGCCTTTGTATCCTTATGAAGAGGAAGAGAGAAAGAACGATGGTGAGAGAAAGAGACGAGAGAGGGGTAGAGAGAAAAAGGTGTGTGTGTGCTGTGTAGTGCGTGTGTGGCGTGGGCGTGCGTGGCGTGTGGCGGCGTTCGTGGGGCGTGGGGCGTGGCGTGTGCGGTTCGGGCGTGCGTGTGTGTGTGTGTGTGTGTGTGTGTGTGTGTGTGTGTATGGTGTGCTGTGTGTGTGTGCGTGGGGCGTGTGGCGTTCGTTGCGTGCGTGTGCGTGCGTGTAGCGTTCGTGGCGTGCGTGCGTGCGTGTGTGAGGCGTGCGTTTTTGGGGCGTTCGTTCGTGCGTGGGCGTGTGTGTGCGTGTGTGCGTGTACGTGGGGCGTGGCGTTCTGTGCCTGCGTGGCGTGTGTTGTGCTGTGTGTGTGTGTGTTGTGTGGTGTGTGTGTGTGTGTGTGCGTGTCGTTTAGCTGTGGTGACTGCTGCCTGTGTGTTGTTTGTCTGTAGGCTGTGTGGTCTAGCCTAAACAAACTTACCAGCGACAGGGGCGGGAATGCGTACCGGCTACAGACGATTCCGGCGACAAAAGGCCATGCTATGGTTGACCAGATCAGCGCGAGCAAAACAGCGCAAAAACAAACAACTTGTTTCACATTAGCACTAAAAGAATATTACGGGCGAGGCGCGACGGCCCAGAGGTCGGCGCATGTTACGCGCACAGACGTAAGAGTGTGGGCGCATTGTACGCGCAGACGATCGTAAAATTACGGCATCTTTACGGTAATGGCGGGTTCCGCAGCGCCGTTTAGGCGCTGACCAAACAGTCTTGGCGCTCGTCTACGTACAACCCTTCCTGGCAAACCAGCTATTAGGCTTCGGCCGACTTTCTCCTTCGAGGCAGCCAATTACGCTGCCTGCGGTGTCTTTGCTTGCTCTCTTTCTTCTCGGCTTTGTTCAGGCGACGTAGGCCGTTAATGGGCCGGCGCAGAGGCATGTCGCTGTGCCGGTCGCCACCCGTCTGTCGCATCCGTCGGCGATGGCGGAACGATACGACGAAACTGGTGACCTATTTTGACTTGGAAATTTCGATGTGTTCTCGGAGCTTGACACGGCGGACGTGGTGAAGCGGCAGGGGGCACTTATCAGGCGGGTGGACGGCCTATCTGAAACACTTGGGGCGGCGAGCACATAAGCAATAAGCGCGAGATGACACTCGAGGGCGACAATTGCATACCCGCATGACACAATTTGCCGGGCGATCCCCAATTTTTGATAAGTCCGGCGTGAGCGTGCGCGTGTCTCTCTAAATCAGTTTAGGGAAATAGTTGTACAGACTATTACCTAGAGCTAGCGGCAGAGGCGCAAACCGCCTTGTAAGACACATCCTGTGTCGCGCATCATAGCAGGAGCTTGTTGGATGACCTTTTGATGAGTGAAACGTCCGCGACTATCGTATTCAGGGGAGCATATAAATAATACATTATAATATAAATAATCGAAATATATATTTTAAGATGGGCAAATCATTTGAATGGGATTGACACAATTTTTGTCAAAATTAAATAAAACCTTTATGCCAGCATAACTTTCGGCTAACTCGTCTATAAATACTTTAGAGGTATCGTAATATTTATTTAGAATTAGTGACTCCACGTCAAGACAAACGCCATTATAGTTGTATAGCATTGAATATATAATATAGCATAGCGTGTACTCTAGCATGAACTCTACTATGTAACGCTGAGCCTGAGTAATATATGGCTATCATTTGTATAATATTGATATCTTTGTATACCGCCAGCAACCATAAATTTTTTTGTTTTTTTTTTTATTAAATAATGTGACAAACGCACTAGTATATCACGCACCACTGTTCGAACAATTATTGAATTAGTTGACATGATTTGACCAGGAGCGTATCGAATAATAGCAGGGCTATA